ATAAAGTAAGTGAGAGAGTGATATATAGAGTAGTTCGATGAATATAAATACTAAGGCCTGATCAATTGAAATCCATTTTGGTCAGATTAGATTTGAAACAAAAACTCAACTGAAATTCTGATGTATCAGTTTAAAGTTCAACCTTCCGCAGTTAAGATTATGTTCACATTTTTTGGATCCCTGCTTATAGAGTTTACAAAACCTACATTGCAAATGAAATTTTGAACAAGCTCCATCAAGCAATAAGACAGGGAAGCTTCCATGTGGCGTTAAAGAAAATCTACAACGAAAAAATGAAGAGTACTAGAGCATCCACCCGATAGTCTAGATTTATTACCTTGCGATATTCACGTAGTTGGATCACTGAAAAAGGATTTAAGTCGGAGGAAAAGTACAAATGCAGTAAACGAATTCTTTGAGCAACAGCCACAAAAATTCTTTAAGCAGTGTATACAATACAACGGTTGGTGAAACAATGAGATATGTGTCTTAATTGTAGTGTAAACTATTTGTAAATATATTTCCAATAAATTTTTTCGGCACCAAAGATGGATTTGAATTGAACAAGCCTAGAATAATGAAATATTGTACACGGTGTCCCAAATTAGTATGATTTGCATGATGTACCGAAAACTAGATGAGGTAGAAAAAAGTATTTAAGATGTCATGACTTCTTTTTTTGTTATAGGAACGATTGCTCACTCAACTCATCAATAGCTACCAACATTATCGAGACACATATACTGAGATAATTTTAAACAAAAATGTATCTCGCTAATGTAGGTAGCTATTAATGATTTGATTGGGCAATCGTTACTTTAACGAAAAAAGAAGTCACGATATCTTATCTTCGGCATACCCTGCAAAACATACCACTTTGGGACACCCTGTACATTCGAAGAGAAGAAGGACTGTATTAAGGGAAACTCCAAATTACCGGAAACTATTTAATACCTGCGATGAGTTAGGCAAATATGTTGTTGTTTATAGATTTTAATGTTGGAAGTGGCTTTGCATTTGCAAAAGGACAAATGTAAAACTTACGTAATACTCCTACTATCAGTTTAGCTTATTTTGTGGAGGTATTTATAATTTATTCACAGTCAAGAAAAAGCGCTCAAAATGGATCATCTTTCAGACAGCATATTCACTGACTGAAGCTTAGACAAGGAAAGAGAGAGGACAGGTAACGCTCATTTAATAAAACCTCGCAAAGTGAGTCCAGTTTAGATGTGACCAGCCTGACCGCCATGTTTTGGTGAATATACGTTGCTCATTACTAGATACCTCTCGTAGGGTTACCAGATCTACTGATTTTTTAGTATATTTACTGATTTCAGCTTCAGTTTACTGAAACACTATCGACCTACTATAAAAAAATATGTAATGATAAAATCATGTTCAAAAATTATAAATAAAAAAAAATCTATTTATTGATATATATCCATTATTCTCAATCTACTGAACAAATAAAATAAGACCTGGTAACCCTCCTGGTGCCGGTTTAGGCATCAGTCCATTCCATATAATTACGCCTACCCTCTCTTTCCTCAGAAGTTCAGGATTTGTTCTAGTGTAATGATTTAGGCTCGCCTTTACTTGGCTGTGAAGAGATTATAGGCATTTTAAAAATCGTATTTTTATTAAATAACAATTTTAAATTATTCATAAGTTCGTTATTTCTTTTAAGTCTAAAGGAAATGGGTCTGGACAATAATATAAATACTAAACCATAAAAATTTCATCGAATTCGTTTGTACACAACGTTGAATAGAACAGTTTTAATATTTATAATTAAAATAATAAAATTTATACTATCACAGTTGACTCACAAGTTATTACACCAGAGAAGATCTCATACGGTGGTAAAGTTATAGTAAAAGCACAACTCATAGCCAAAACTATACTCTATGACTGATCGCTATCATGAGATCAGACGTAGAAAGTCTTTTAACTATAGAAATATCGATAAAGGAACTACAAATAACAAAACACATTCAGTATTAGGAATTTGCAAATAACGCTTAGATATTTCTGTCTGGGATAACCTTATAATACGAGATACCACTGCAAGATCACTACGTTCATAACGTAGTTAACTAAGCTTACATTTTTACGTACATTTAAGAATATGAGAATACATGTATAACAGGTTGCCAGTTAAAAAGGGCCCGCAAATGGTTTTAATTCAATTAATGGTAATAAATTTTTGAACAAAAATTTCGTCCATTTGTCTTTTAAATAAAATACGCTGCTCATGACCAATATGCATGTTTTTTATATCAAATTAAAGCTTTTTCTTAATACGCTAAAGTTTTTTCTTAATACGATGATATAATGTAGGTAACTAAAAAACTTTTCGCAAATTTAGGTTGCTAACTGTTTAAAATGCCAGGAATCAAAGATAAAGTAAATGAAAGCTAGCGGTTTCATCATATAGACCAATTAGTCTATTACCAGTCGTATCCAAAATACTTGAAAGGTTACTGTTACAAAAAATTATCTCAGACCCCAATACAATGGAATTGATACCCAACCACCAATTTGGCTTTAGAAAAAAACACGCGACAATACAGCAGGTTCATAGAATAGTACACTCCATAAATTCTGCAATGAAAAGCAAATACTACTGCACAGCTGCTTTTCTAGATGTTAGTCAAGCCTTTGATAAGGTTTGGCATACAGGCTTGATTTTCAAAATTAAGAAATATTTACCCATCACGTACCTGGAACTGTTAAAATCCTATCTGAGTGGGAGATAATTCCGAACAAGAGTGAATGAAAGTAATTCCAATAATTTTCCTATAAAATCTGGTGTTCCACAGGGCAGCGTTCTTGGACCAATATTATACGTGCTATACATAGCAGATCTACCCTCCACTAATGAACTCTCTTTGTGTGTCTCCCAGTTTCACTTAATAATATTCAACTTCTCCAATCCTCTAGCACTAAATATCTAGGAATACATCTTAACTCAAAACTCACCTGGAAAGAACACATTCTTAAGAAGCGGAAACAAACTGACCTAAGAATGAAAGATCTAAACTGTTTAGTAGGCAGGAAATCGAAACTGAGCCTTAAAAACAAAATCCTTGTATACAAAACCGTCATAAAACCTGTCTGGACGTATGAAATCCAACTCTGGGGATGTGCGAGCAAGTCAAACATAGCTGTAATTCAAAGATGCCAATCAAAAATAGTCCGAACGATAACTGATGCACCTTGGTATGTGCCAAACCTAACACTGCATGAAGACCTAAGAATCCCGTATATATATATATATATATATATATATATATATATATATATATATATATTATATATAAGTTATGATTTTTGAGGATGCAGTCAGTTTATTTGGCCCACAAGACAAAGAAAACTCTTTGACTTACTGTCAAGCCTTCGAATTTTATTTAATTCTTTTTCAAGACATCTATAAAAAGAAATATAAATTAACTAGTTAAAATTGTTAATTTTCTTACTTACTAGTCTTGATGTCTTGAAAAAGAATTAAATAAAATTCGAAAGCTTGACAGTAAGTCAAAGAGTTTTTCTTTGTCTTGTGGGCCAAATAAACTGACTGCATCCTCAAAAATCATAACTTATATTTAAATCAACAGTCAAGAATACCACCATCTTATATATATATATATATATATATATATATATATATATATATATATATATAATATATATATATATATATTATATATATATATATCTGGTTTTTTAGGCGTTACGCCCGTCCGGTAGGGATCTATGGAGGAGTATCACCAAGCCGCAAGCCCTTATCTCTTGCCGTACTGCTCCACCATAGGCCGATCAGATCCCAGCATATCCTAGTCTAAGCCGCAGATTCATCTAGAATTTTAAACTGCTGCGTTAGACTTTTTGTTTTCAGTACACCGAGCTGGGGCTCGAACCCACATCCACTGAACCATTCGACAGTGAAGCGAATGAGAGGCAGCCGCACAGCCCGCTGAGCTATCTGACCGACAATCCCGTTTATACAGGATGTAATCAATAAATACAGCACGATGCCCTATCAAGCACTGGAATCACATAGTAACCCCTTACTCCAACCTCTGCTAAAACACCAAGCCAATAGGAGACTCAAAAGGAACTGGCCAGCTGACCTGAAAAACGGTTAAAGTGGTCTTGTCACTGAAGAAGACCTCACCACGCCAATAGGAGCCCCTTGCACCGCAACCAGCAAATTAGCTTACAGAACTTTATTTGTGTTTTGATTGCTAATAACAAAAAATTCAATTTGAATAGAGGGTAGCAGTTGTATTTAAATTGGTGAGCAATACAGTATACAATATAGGAAAAAGAAAAGAAAAAGATCCTGTTTTATCTTCTCCGGAAAAAACAGACCTCGTTTAAAAACGAAAACTACTGAAATACCTGAGGGCAATGACATGGCAATCCGAAATACAATATATAATATGTACCAGGATGGTAAGTATACCATTTTTCAAAGTAATATCGTTGCACGTCACAATTTATATAAAGTGACGTCACTTATATTTAAAATTTCTAGAACGTCAACCTTAATTAGAGTTCAAATTTTCCTAACACAGCTAATAATACGAAACCCATACGGAACTGCTCGATCTTTCATAGGCGTCAACATGGTATAATAATCAGAAAACTGTAATCATGATTATATTGAAAATTTTAAAATTATATTGAATAAATAACCAAAAACATTTGTTATTATTAATAATATAAATTTTAAGTATAATATTCGACAAAATAATAATTTTAGTTAAATAGATTGGACAATTGTACGCAACTGGTACGCTTGAAGAATACTTCAAATTTCAATGACAGTTCAACGTGTGGAAAAATTGTTTAAAGTGTTGCCGCTTTTTTAGAGTAAGAATTTTGTTTGTATTTTGATTTCTTACACAATTTAATCATAATATATTATACTTATATTAAAAAATTGTAAAGTATTTATTAAATTTAGATTTATAGCTTGTGTATTGTGATTGTGCTATGCCAAAACAACTAAATAGTCTGTAGAAAGCTGATAAGCTTTCATATAAGATAGATTATTTGGAACAAGAAATAATGGCGGGACGTTTTTACTATTAATGCTCTAAAAGAGGTAAATTTAAAATAAATAATTTTGAATTAAAATGTTTTCTTATGAATTTTAGTGTGTTGCAGTAGTCTTAAAACTAAGTGTATTTACTGTTAATATAATAACTTGACAAATAGTTAACATTTTAAAAATTCCTCACTTACTAACTATTCTAATGTTTTGGCAACGCTGTGAGGTTCTGACCAACTGTCTGTTGAGAATTACGACAAGGATTTAACATGTTACATTTATTAAAAGTATTAATTTAATATTATTAATAGGTATTAATTTATTAAAATAAAAACCTTTCTAGAGAAACATGTAACCCATGAAGCGTTGCTAGGCTAAAGAAATTAATATATAAGTAAAACCTCTTTGAGTAGAATATTAAAAGATTTAGGCTTTAAATTTAAAAAAGAAGGTCATCAAAGAGCTTTAACTGAAAGAATTCATATCGTAAATACATGGAAAACAGAAATAGTACATATCCACGTGAAGTTGTATTTTTAGACGAAACGCGGATTTTTTCTAGAAGATATAAAATGATGTTATAGCTAGATGACAACAATAGAAGTGTATGTGAACCAGGTGGTTATTATGGAAATATATTTAATGTGGTTCATGCCGGTTCAGCAAAAGTTTTTATTTCAGACGCTAGTTTGTAATTTTGTTCCAAATCCTCGACTGCGGATTATCACGGTTAAATGACCGCTAACTCTATTTTACTTTACCTTTAATACCTCGCGTTTTTAACGGCTGGCAATCCTAATTTGTGATCAATTTTTCCTAGGCAACCCTATATCATCATATTAAAAAAAAATAGCTTTAATTTTATATAAAAAAAACATGCATATACGTCATGTGCAGCGTATTTTATTTAAATATTTAAAAAAGAAATGAACGAAATAAAATTTTTGTTCAAAAACTAAATACTATTAACTGAATTAAAAATATTTTCGGCCAATTTTTAACTAGCAACCTGTTATCAGTGTATTCTTCTACTCTTAATATATGTAAAAATGTGAATTTGATTAACTACATTATGAACGTAGTGATCTTGCAGTGTATTAGATTTTGTACTACATCAAATAAAAAAATGTCAAAAATAACAACATCGATAGGCCGCTAGATATTGCCGCACATATTCAACATGCGCAGGAGCCATATTTGTGAGGTCGTGATGATTTTTATATGAAGGGAGGAATATGTAAGGACTCAGTCACAATTCTCTTCAGTTCTTCATACGTTTCCGTCTTGAGTCATGCCAATATATCTGCTAACTCCTTCGCAGTCAGAATTTGTCTAAATGTTTCCCACCACATCTTCTTTGGTTTTCCTACTCTTTCCAGGAAATTGCATCCAGCAACTTTTCGGTGCCAATCGGCTACATGAATACGTTGTTCTTCTTTCTTTATAACTGCCTACTTAACATTTAGTTTCATATATCACAGTTGGTCTTGTGGCAGTTTCACAGAATTTTATTTTCAGTTTCATTATAATTTTTCTATCACAGAACACATCACTTACCTCCTTCCATTCCTTCTTGATTCTATTATAACTCCACGGCATGAATTTTCCTTTACTTTCTCATTACTCTGTAATACCGATCTTAAATAGTTGGAACTGTTACTTTTCAACCACTTTACTGTACAAATATTTATAGTAGTAACTCCATCTTTAAATGGTAGTTGTTTCTTCGGGAACTTATCTCTAATGTTTCAATCTTTGCTATAAATATTTTTTAAAATTACATAATAATACTACATCAAAAGCACCAAGAAATGTTGCCCTGTAGTTTTCTTGTAATCTGATTCACTGAACCTAAAGGAAATAGATAAGGACTAAGTAGTGAGCCCTGATACAATCCTACTATCAAGTGAAATATATCAGTCTCTATTACAGATGTCCTAACAATAGTTATTACACCCTTATAAAGATCTCTAACGATCTTCATATACTTATCAGGGACTCTTTTAGCTCATGCACGTTATTTTTGTACCAGTTAAGTAAAAAAATTCTACCAGAGAGAAATATCTAACACTACATATCATATTTGTACACCTAGGTTTTCTTTTTCGTGAGATCCATCTCTGGCTTAGTTACAAAATTAAAATAAATACAATTACATCAAACTGTTGAGTTTTCGAGTGAACTTTCTGGCTTAGAAGTCTTGTTTGCGATACTGCCATATTTCGAATCTAGTTCCTGCTGTTTACGTTTAGCTGGATCGTTCCAATCTTGTTCTTCGCCACTACCGAAAAGACAGTAGATGATGTTTGTTGCCATGAAGATAGCGAATGTTATCCAGAAAACTGTACGCCATTGTTTCAAAGTGTGCTAGAAAAATAATAAACGATTTAAGATTGAAACAAAAGGTAAAAATCCGGAGATTTGTACTTGTTCGAAACCAAAATTTAGATTCTCACCCAAATCTGTGGCTTCTACAGTTTACAAAGCAAACAGGGGATGAATGCACCGACATGGGGAATCTAAAATAGCATTCCCCATCATATCGATTCATCTAAGCAAGAAACTTTCATCAACTGGCTTCTAATTCTCCAAATACAAGTGAATAAATATATAGAAAAGACAGTTAAGATTTGATTTAACGTATAGTGCTTCTACAATTCGATTATAAGTATTTTGTCTTTACAAGATTCATCAGAGCGACTGATTAAGAAGCCCTGAATGTGAAATTCTTTTCACGGAAAGTCTTTTCCGTGAAATGAAATCCTAATTGTCATTTTTTGGTGTAAAATTAATTTATTTTTAAATTATTTCAGATTTTAAAAATGACATGACAAAAATTTTAATGCCAATAAAAGGTTGAAAGCCATCTAATTGTAACTTACGTCTTCTGTTAAAGCTCCTGCTAGATAGGGTGCAATAATTCCAGTAAATGCACCAATTCCATTTACAATAGCCATTAATGTTCCAGCATAATTGGGGGCCAGATCTAAGGCGTTAACTTTCATTCCGCAATAGAAGGGACCCATAAAACCCATAGCGACTGTAAACATCGCGACTGTTAGGTAGCGATCACATCCGGAATATGATGCAGCCATGATGAAGATTGCTGGACCGACAGAAGCTGTAACAACAATTTATGATTTAGTTACTAGATCCTTTATAATCTTTTAAATTCTTTTCTTAACTTACCTATTGAAGTGAAGAACTTTCTCGCAAAAGTAATCTTCATATAACCTGCAGACACTAACCAGTCACATAACCATCCAGATCCCATGGACACCAGCCACATGACCATGTAGGGTACGGAAGTCCAAATTCCATTCTCTTTAACATTGAATTTCAGGACATCGCTCATATAGGTTGGTAGATCAGTGACCATAGTGAAGAATCCCCAATCGTGGCCTATCTGGGCAGCTACTAGTGCTAACAATGGTGGAGAGGTAAAGATGTCCTTCCATGGGATTTTTCTTTTTTCCTCCGACACATTTTCTTAAAAAAAAAAACAGAAAGATTTTATAATTTTGTTAATAATTTAAATGATTCACTTCTTTTCATTAATGTCTCTTTAACTATAATTCTTTTATTATACGTATTTAATTTTTATCAAGTTGTTTATTTAACTACAGCTTGTCAAATGTAGGAAAATTTCTATTTCGAAAGGCTTCCTCTATGCACCGAACAGCTTCAAATCCTCGAACCAAATCTCAGTGTCATCATCATCATCATTACACAGCCAAATTTGTCCACTGTCGAACATAGGCCTCTTAAGATGTCTTCACTCTTCTCTGTCCTGTGCAGCTGCGATCCAGTTTGTCCCTATTCTTTTAATGTCGTCCGTCCATCTGGTAGGTGGTCTTCCACGATTTCGCTTGTCTGCCCTTGGCCGCCATTCTAAAATCTTCTTTGTCCATCTGTTGTCTCTCTGTCTTGCGACGTGTCCTGACTATTTCCACTTCAACTTCGTAATCCGTTTTATGACGTCTTCCACTCCAGTTCTTCGCCGTATCTCATCATTTCGTATTCGGTCTCTCAAAGTTACGCCAAGCATAGATCTTTCCATTTTTCGTTGTGCTACTTGTAACTTTTTTACTGATGCTTTAGTCAATGTCAGTGTTTCAGCTCCATAAGTGAGCACCGGAAGTACGCACTGGTTAAATGCTTTTCTCTTTAGCTTTATTGGGATGTTTTCCTTAAACACGTCTTTTAGCTTGCCATAGGCTGCCCATCCTAAAGCTATTCTTCTAGATAATTCGCATGTTTGGTTGTCTCTACTTATTTGTATTTCGTGGCCCAGATATATATATATATATATATATATATATATATATATATTATATATATATATATATATATATATATATATATATATTTGTCAACCGTTTCAATATGCCAGTTTTCTAGTTTCAATGGTCCACTAGGTACTAAGTTGGTCATCATTTTAGTTTTCGCAAAGTTTATTTCCAGCCCTACTTTTTGGGAGACTCGTAAATCTTGTAGCATATCGTTGGCCTCCTTTAGGTCGTCGGTTATTAGAACTATGTCATTTGCAAATCGTAGGTGGTTCAGCCTTTCGCCATCGACACTCAAACCTCTGTTTTCCCATTCTAACATCTGGAATGCATGCTGCATTACGGCATTGAATAGTTTTGGTGACATGTTGTCTCCTTGTCTAACTCCCCTTTTTAGTTTTATTTTTTGAGTAGGGGTGTGGAGGTTTATTGCTGTTGTGGCATTTGCATATATATGTTGAATAATGCTGGTATATCGTAGTCGATTCTACAATCTCTCAAAGCTCTTAAGATAGCTACCATCTCGATAGTGTCGAAGGCTTTTTTATAGTCAACAAATACTAGAACTAATGGCCGGTTGTACTCTATAGTTTTTTCAATTAGGGCCTTTAGACAAGTTAGATGGTCATTTGTACCATACCCAGGGCGGAAACCTGCCTGTTCTCTTGGTTGGCATGTTTCTAGTTTGTTCTCAATTCTGGCAGTGATAATTCGAGCAAATAATTTATACAGGTGACTTAGAAGACTGATTGGCCTATAGTTTTCGAGGTCTGTTTGATCTCCTTTCTTATGCATGAGGAGCGTTATAGAATTATTCCATTCAGCTGGTATTGCTTGGTTTTCTAAGCATATATTGAAGAGCTGCTTGATTGTCCTGATGAGAGCAGAGCCTCCGATTTTTAGCGCATCCGCCACTACTCCATCTTCTCCTGGTGCTTTGTTTTTTTTTTCATTTTCTTTAGAGCATGGTAAATTTCAGGCGTTGATATGTCGGGAATATCTTCTGAACCTTGATTCATAATTTTTTGTTCTGTATGTTCTGTCGGGTTTAAGTCCAATTTATTTGTGTATAGTGTTTTATAGAAGTCTTCTACTATCTCTAGCATTTCGTTTCTGTTGGACGTTAGTTTGCCATTCTTTCCCTTAAGTCTGATGATTTCTTTTCTGCTGTTCGTCAATTTCCTTCTTAATATCTTCATGCTCTTGTTGTGCTCGATTGTCTGCGAGATTTTCTCATTTTTATATACCCTTATGTTAGATTTTATATGCCCTGTTATATTAGAAAGGACATAAGGGCATATAAAAATCTCACGTGTACAGCTTTGTAAAACTAAATCATTGTAAGCTCCAGTTATGAAGATCCAGTGCTGATCCTAATTTTTATCGATTTATAATTTTTATATCGATTTCACTTCGTCAGTAACGCAGTGGTAACCGTTAGGTATTTTATAATTTTATATTTATATAAAAAGTCTAATCAAGCCTCTGTTTACCTCAATCACAGAATAATAAACAATCAGAATGCCCACCCTCAGATGCCGCCTTTGAAGTTTTTCAGCACACGCGTCATGTTTTAGAAGGATACATACATATGATTTGTGAGGTTATGCAATTGTTTATATTTATGTTTCATTCTATTATATTTATGTTATTATATTTAACAATGTTAATATAATTGTATATTATGTCTATGGTTGCCGTAAGTCAATTAAACCGGGTTAATTTTGTCTATGCACACCACATAAACAACACTGGTTCCCTCTTAAACATGGCGGAATGTCTGCGCGTACTTAATTTTCCATGGAGAGTGGGCATTCTGATTGTTTATTATTCTGTGCCTCAATCAACTAAAGAATCAGCTGATTTTTCGACTCTAATAAAAAAAGAAGAAATGTTACACCTTATGTATCTGTAGAGTAGAAAGGACAAGTTAAGTCCCACACCAATTACGTCACATTTAATTCATTGTGCTTCCTCCCAGGGAGCTGTCGTTCTTAGCTCATTGCCCATCTTGTCAGAGGAAACCAACTGTCAAGCGTAGGTTTTTCCTGGTCATTCCCAAATACTTCTTTGATGCTAACTTTTCAAGGTTACTTAGTATTACCTTTACAAGTATACATCCTTGCCATTCTTCCATATTTTCACGGTTTCGTGTGGGAGTGACCTTTGACAACTTCCGGGATTGTTGTAGTTGACCAACGAAAAAAACCTGCAGGTCCTTGTTTTAGGCCTGCCGCCTTTCTAGCTAATTGATCAGCAATACGGTTGCCTTTATTCCTATTGTGTTCTTTAACCTACCTCAGGATGATGTTATTACCATCCTAAAATTGAGTTAGTGACTCGTGACACTCCATTATTAACCCTGATGTGGCACGTGGACTACTCAAGGTTAATAGCGCTTGTTTGCGATCTGTGCAGATTATTATAGTTTTCCCGGCTATACTTTTGGGTTATCTCTTTTGCTGCTATGTACATACAAGCCAGTTCTATCTGAACTACGCTGGTATTTTTGCCCATACCCCTTTTTATTCTTAGGTTCAGTGATTTGGACTATATCCCGTATCCTGAGGTAAATACGCATTTACAACGTTTGACACCCTATACTGTCTTGTTTTGATTTTGTAGGGTTTGTTAAAAACAAACTTTTATTTAATTGAGTAGCAGTCCGCCTGTAGCAGGGGTAGCGCATCTAGTACTCCCCGCTAGAAACAAGTTCTCAATTGCCCCATTCCTACATCGAAGTTTGCACCTGCTGAGCGCAGTCGCATCATTGTCATCAGCTCCACATCTTTGACATATATGTCTAGAGGGGTGATATCAATAAGTAACTCAATTGTAGTAGTTTGTGTTATTTTCATTTCACGTTATATTTAGGCAAACCATCCGTGGAATATGGTTTAGTTTGTTATCCAAGCAATAGCTCTGTAAGTTAGTATTGGCCTAATGACAGCAGTATAGATCCAGGTGATCAACCTGGGCGAAAGGCCTAGGTGCGTCCGACCGTTCGTCGACACTGCTCATAGGCAATATATGCTCTCTTAGTTTTACCATCTAGCTGGGAGATCCATGTTAACTTCCTGTCAAGGGTAATACCAAGATATTTCATCTCGTCAGAAAGATTTAGACTGTAATTTATTATTCTTGTGGGTATTAAGCCCGCGATTCTTCTTTTTCTGGTCAAGAGGACCGTCTCGGTCTTCTTAGGATCTATAGATAGTGAATATTCGTAGCACCCTAATGATACACCTTAAATATCGTGTAAGATTTTAATAAAATATTAATATGTCGATTTATATCAAAATAATTACCTATTACACTGCTGATCAGAAAATTTATTTGTATACGAGAAGAACTGGACCCTACTACAGCCTAAGAAAAGTTAGGTAAAAGTTTTATTAAAGTATGAGATAAAATATTAGTAAAAGTTTAGAATTAGAAAGTATTTTAATATCTGTATGGACGATGTGAATATGAATATTTACCCAATTCCTTTTTGAGGTAAGTTCGTTCGTCGTCACTGATGAACGGATGCGACTCTGGTTCCGAATAGCACAGTAATTGCCAAAGTATATACCAGATCACTCCAGCTGCTCCAAATACATAAAACACTGAAGACCAGTCTCTAGTTGCATTGATCAAAGCTCCGCTGATACTGTTGCTCACAATAGTACCTGAAATAAAGACCGACAATAGTATTCTTGATATAACAAAAATATTTATGTTCAAATATTTAAATAAATTCTCTTTTTACTTTTTAAGTTAGTTTTACTTACCAATTTGACTGCCTGCATAAACTAATGTACCGATTTTGCCTCTCTCATGAAGCGGTACCCACTTTGCCAGAAGAGCATTGAGTGCTGGATAGGTTGTTCCCTAAAAATTGAAATTATTTATGTTAAAATAAAATCAATGGCGTCGAATGACCAATGAAGTCTACTAATTAAATTCACCGCCTTACCTCTCCAAGTCCCATGATGACCCTCAAAGCCACCAAAATTTTCCAGTTTCCATTAGTAGATCGGATAACCCAAGGTGTTATGAGAGTAAAAACAGCAGTAGATAATATTCCGAGACCCAGAGAATACTTCCCTCCAAACTTTTCAGCCAGCACGCCGCCTGGTAAATGGGTCACTACGTAGCCCCAGAAGAAGGAGCTGAGTATAAGTCCTTTCGTTGTTTCGTCCCAGTCGTAGAGAAGATCTTGGTTCTAAAATAAACTGAAAATCAATTGCGAAGTGGTATACTTATTATTAGACTTCGGTAAATATGCAAATAAAAATGTAGAAAATATGCGCATAAATATGCACGTGTTTACCCGAAAATATGCAAATATTTTACAAAATATGTATACAAATAAATAAAAAAATCGTAAAAAAACAATTTTATTAAAAAAAAGTGTAGGTACATAACTAAATATTTCCTACTATTCATTAAGATTTACATTTATTTTAAGTAACTACATCATTTTTAAGTATGAATAAACTTATTTAGAATTATGGTAACAATAAATGACCAAGTGGTGTTCAAAATTTTCTAACAAAAACTTGTGGCTTCTGTCTGAGTACATATATTTATATATGGAAAAACTTCGTTCAACATCAACTGATATAACGGGAGCATTTTTCAAACTAACCAAAACATTTGGTTCTAAATTAATTGTTTCCGAAATATTTCCAGCTAGAACACTGACTACTTCAGAAAGAATATGGTAATCTTTATTTTTTCCATAGTAGCTTCAAATTTTTTTAAAATATCTTTTCCAATATTACCTCTAACGTTCCGATAACATGACGCAAATTCTTTTATTAATGCTGTACTTTCGAACAATGACAGTTTTGGTGATTCTAACTGAGTAATTGTTTTTTGAACAAAACTAAAATTTGATTTTATAAATGAAAGTTCTTGTTGAAGCAAGTTACTCTGAAAAGTTTGTTTAGAATCCAAAAGAGATTAGGAACTTTCATCTGTTAAACGTTAGGTAGCATTTCTTTATAAAGTTGAATTCTTATAGGAGATTTAAGAAATACTTTTTTGACACTGGATATCATGGTATTTACAAGAGGAAACTTTTTTCGTATTTCATCTGCAACTCTGTTTAATCCATGCGCTACACAAGTAACATGTATTAAATCTGGGAAAAATATTTTTAAATTTTGTCCTGCTTTCACCATATAAGGAGCAGCATCCGATAAAATAAGCAGTAATTTATTAGAAGGAATAGTTGTCGGAAGAAAAAAAGTTGCTAATGTTTCTTGTATAAAACGCGAATTTGTTAAAGCATTTGTTTTCTCAAGTTGCTGGCATGAAATAAGATGAGATTTTGGTAAGGTATCTTCTTTAAGAACATCAATCAATAAATGAGCAATATACTTTCCTGAGGAATCAGTGGTTTCGTCTACAGATATGTAAAAATAATTATCTGCAATTTCTTCCTTAATATTAATTAATACCGACGAGTATAGCCCGTTCACATTATTTCTTCTTAGAGACCGATCTACTTGGAACATTAAGTTTTCAATATTTTTTTAGAAACGAACTAAAATTTACATTTGCTAATTTTGAAAGCGGTATGTTTGCAGACACTAATGCGCGACACAAGTCTTCATTAAAAGTTTCTTGCTCATCTAATTTTTTTGAAGTAGATTGGAAACATTTAGCCATTGAAGTTTGATGTTTTCCTCCTATTTTTCCTTTTTTTGCAATGTGTGAAGCAGTTCTCACATGTTGGTCTATCTGAAATTTCTTCTCACATGCTATCTATAAATAAAAATAAAAACCTTTATTTTAACCCAACCTTTAAAATATAAAAATATACAAGGTGTTTTTGGTTAATCAAATAACTGGTTTGAGAAAAAAAAACACTCGCTAAGTGTTTTAAATGCAGTATTAATCCACAAATTAGTTTTTGTTACTAACCATTAGTACATCATATAACTTATTTTAAAATTCAACAAAAGTTTTTTTTTTGTTAATTCAATTACAATAAAAATAATTGTGTTTTAGAATAGCTGACTTCATAAAAAAAAGTAAAGGTGAAAAATTTTTCTAAATACACACCATTGTATTGTACCATGGACATTTTTTTCTCACTAAAGGAAGCTATTTTTCATTTAAAAACAACCTACGAGTACTAAATTTCAAGTAAATACGTTTATTGGTTTTAAAGTTATTGTTGTTATTAACTAAAAGAATTTAATTTTTTTTAATTTTAACACCCTGTATCTCGAAAAGTAAATAAGTTTGACCCCTCATTAACTATATCGTTTTGTTCAATTTTTCGAGAAGTATCTACAGTCAAACGTTGTAAGTGTCATTTGGAAACACCCTGTATGTATGAAATATTAGATATTTAATAGAAAATATTAGATACTTACAATTTTGCCACAGACTAAACAGTAGATTTTTCCCATATCCATAGACAGCTCTTTATAAGGTTTAATCCAAGTTGAAGCACTGGTTGTTTTAGGCATTATAAAATCACAATCTTCCTTTTTGTTACGCACAACGAGTGTTTACGCTTTGAATATCAAAACAAAAATGATTTACAAATCTGAGCATCAAATTAGAAATGTTTAGGTACCTAATTCAATAAACTGGGAGATTTTGGAAAATCCCTAAATTAGGAACAAAACTATTAGCCGTTTACCTGCTGTTAAGATACAATAAATTGTAGATAGATTTGGGGATTAGATCATAAAATGCAAATGAGCGAACCCTTAGCGATTATCCAATAACTGAATGCCTCAGTGACCGAGACTTTCTAAGAATGTTGAGGGCTACTTAAATTGATCTTCTTTGAAATTGTAAATGTTTTGTACCTGTAGAGATTACGTACTTAGATCATTTCTTGATTAAAATGACTACAAAATTTTATACAAGAATTGAAATAAATTGGTATGTTTAAAAATTTTCAAATACAGTATAAAAATCTGAACTTTTATGCACTTTATGCAAACTTTTATACAAATATGCCAAAATATGAAATATTTGCATAAAATATGCACAATATGCAAAATATGCAATATGCATATTTGCCGAAGTCTACTTATTATGGTAGACATGTTAAACTTAGTTTATTCACTTAGCAATACACTTTGTGTCCTTGAGAAATTTGGGGTAGACCCCCTTTGAAGTTTTTGTAGAACTTAAATAGCCACTTTTCCACCTTATTGACGAGAGTAAATAAATAGATAGACTTAAAAGCAATAAAAACATGGAGTCACCCCGAAAACAATAAATAAATACTATTCGTCCATGATTTGATTCTAATTTTAAGTTTTGTAAACTGCCATTAACTGTATACATTTAAGTTAGAGCACACTTTTTACTTACTATTATTAATTTGCTTACCGTTACTGAGTTGTGTGATTTATTGGCGTTTTCTGATGGACACGAGTCGGGATCATAGAAGCTGGAAGAACTTGGGGCTACCATTTCAGTGATAGCGATGTTAAGTGAGACTCTCAAGCGAGTAGGCGTTTACAACTGCCAGGAATCCCATTATTCCTAATATGTACCGTTGTGGTATAAGGAAAACTGCAACAAAAGAAAACATGCTAAAATATATAACTATAAAATATTTAACTGTAAAAATTGCAATTAAAAGATTTGCTTTCTTATATACCTGTCTAATTCTTACTATAATCTATTTCGAATATAATATTGTGCAATTTATTTCTAACCTAATATAATATTCCAGTCGTCACACACGAAAATGCCACTAAAAATCATACGAACAAGCTTTGTTGAAAATGTCAATTTTAGGACACTAAAAACATGCAAAAAAGTTTACCACTCTTATCACTTGTTTTTCTCTTAAAACCACTCACGTAGAGGGGGAAAATCGCGAAAAAATATTGATTTACAAAGAATCTGTACGTTATAGAAAAAATGTTTCAAATAAAAAATGTAGCCAAGGTAATTTTAAACAAAAAAGTTTATAGGAATTTTTTATGTATAATGAACCGTTCTCTCAGAAACAACGATTAAAGCGATCGGCGATTGTGAATGTTAGTTACTCTTTACCAGGTTTTTAAATGAGTATAATCTGTGCCAAAATTCCATTGCAAAGAGAAGTTAGTGCGGATTTAACATAGTATTGAAGATCATAGTGATTATTCTGTAGCAATCATGGGTTAGTTCTTGAAGGACCTTTCCTGTAATGAGGTCGTATCCCTGCGCTTTATTGGGTTTTATCTTATTTTTATATTATCTGTTTTACTTCTTTAATGTTAAAGTGTGAGAGTGGAAGTTCCATTTGTTATTGAGCGTCAAGAAAATAATGAAGTGGAAAATTACTTTTGTGAAAATTATCGTTTTTATGCAAAAAGCAATATATTTTAGTTCTTTTATTTACAAATTCAAGATCCTATGTCAATTCCTTTTCAAGATACGTTTAATTGTTTATAACAATTCTTAATTTTTTTATAAATTTTACAGTGCTAACCAACATAATTTTCAAATTCTTTAATATATTCACTCCTTACGTCAAGGCGATTCTAATCTCTTAAAAATCATTTACATAATGTAATTGAAATTACTATTAAATATTGACATTCTTCATCTTTATGCTACTGGAATTAAGGACTTGTGTAATTATATGTTATAAAAATGTTAAGTACTCACGATTTAATAAAGAATAGGTAATATGTATATTGCTTGAAGGAATTTACAACTTTGGTTTATATCTAATAAACTAAAACATTTAGGATTATTATTTCTAAAACATTTTTTTATAAATTCTTCTTTAGAAAGAAACAAAAACCAACTAAACAGAAATAAACTGCAACATGATTTCCTGTATTTGAAACTTCAAGGAAAAAGCGGGATTATTTACTTAATTTACAAATAACGAGCTAATTTACAAAATTCAAATAAATTTTGGGAACACGACATTCACCTTCATAATATATTGATTTGATTTTAAACAGGCCTATGACTTAATCTATGTCTTAATCTTAATCCTATGACTAACTTAAAAGCAAGTTTTAGGATACACGGACAGAATTCTAGAACTTTTGATAGAGATCAGACAAGGGGGCTATACTGGCTTGCCTCCTACTTAATATTGCGTTGAGAGAAACAAACACTTGGAGGTACTATTTACTAGGTCAACAATTATTATTCCATGAGGGTCCGTTTCGAAAACCTACTACACTTCCGCAGTCCGAACACTCGGCACTAAACCAGGCAGTGGCGTAACCGGAGAACGGGGGGAGACCTTCCAGTAGTTTTAACCCCCCTCAGGAGATCATCCACAAGGATCTACAGACCGAGAGTTTGGTACAAATTCCACGGCTTCGCGCAATCGTATTTGGAAGTTCGTGAACTAGTCGACTGGAGTTACAATTTGCCAAATGTAAATGTAATCGTTTCTACTCATTCATATTAATATTATAATGTATAATATATTAAAGTTTTTAATATTGGTAATATTATTAAAGCTTCTAATATTATTTTCTAATATTAATAATAATATTAAGTAATTAAATATTGCGTCTTGCTTAAAAAAAGTACGAGATAAATAACTCGTTTTTTTATATGAAAGTGCAATTTTCTTGCAAATGCTTGGTTTTTTTTGATAAGATAATGCAAATTATATGAAGAGTAGCTACAGCGTTGGGTAGTCAGTGGCGAATCTACGAGGAGGGAAAAAGGATTTTCTGAATTTGTCAATACTGGTCAATACTTTGACTGAACATACAACCAAGAGAGGATGGAATGTTGTCAGACCATTAACAATATTGAAATATAACCAGTACGTGACAGAAAACGATGTAGAATATGTTGTATGGATTAAATTTGAAAAAAACACAATTTACGAGTGTGCTGATTGTGACGGATTGTGACGGATTGTGAAGGCTTCAGTGGCTTGCTTCAGTGTCCAGGCTTTAACTCCATATAGTAACACTGGAAGAACGTAGCACCTCACTATCCGCATCTTGGTTCCCAAACTGAGATCACTGCAGCACAGCAAGGATCTCAACTTAATAAATGTAGACCGTGCCATTTCAATTCTGGATCTAATCTCTTGAGCGTAGTCCCATTGTGAGTTGAGGGTAGTTCCGAGCTAAGTGAATCTGTCGACTCTCTGGATCTCTTCGCTACCTGCCATTAGTGCCACGGGATTTAAATTTGTACGGCTGACAACCATGAATTTAGTTTTCTTAATATTAAGGTTCAGTCCGTATGTTACGCTCACAATTCGCACTCGGTCTAGTAAGGCCCGCAGATCGTTTTAGGCTGGTTGCTAGTAACACAGTGTCATGCGGCGTAGCGGATATTATTGATGTATTCACTGTTCACTCGGATTTCCATCTCTAGGTTTGTGAGGGCTTCAGTAAAAATCTCCTCAGAGTATATATTGAAAAGAGTCGGCAATAGCACACATCCTTGCCTTACTCCTCGCATGATCTTTAGCTGGTTCATGATAAGCACGCTGGTTCCAGTATAAATTCATAATGATCCGAATGTTCTTCTCATCCAATCCTACTCTTTGTAGGGCGATGACCATCTTCTGGTGCTGACAACGGTCAAATGCCTTGGCGTAGTCAATAAAACAAATATAGACATCACAACTGACATCGTGGCATCTCTGAAGTAGGACTTGTAAGGTAAAAAGTGCTTCACGTGTACCCATGGAATTGCGGAATCCGAATTGCATTTCACCGACATTTTCTTCGCATCTTTTATAAATCTTAAGCTGTTGGTCGTGTTGCTCTTCATTGTTTTTAGGTCCTTATAAAACTGTCTAGACTGACCGGTTCTATGTTCCTCCCCAGTTTTTTGTATTCAGGCTTCTAGGGACTGTTTCTTTTTTCTTCTCAAAAATCTTCTCGTTTGAGTCCTTACTCTGTTGTAGTCTTTACTGTTCTCGTCTGTAGGGTGTGTTAGTAACTCTAGCCTCTTGATTGCTTTCTTATGCAAGCTTTGTTCGCACTCCTGGTCAAACTACTGGTTTTTCTTCTTGTTATTCCTTTCTTTTCCTATAGTTTCCGCTTATATTTTGCCATTTCTGGTCTATGGTCAATTCTGGCGTTGATGTTTTTTCTTCTTTCAGTGACAACAATTTGTTTTGGATACCTTTATGAAAGGTATATTAATAAAAAACCCTATCGGGCTACATCACAGAACGTTTTCGGAATAACTCTTCCATCATCAGTGGAATTACTATACCTTTTATAAAGGAAATTTTTTAAATAAAAATTTTTTATCTACATGAATATTTATAAATCGGAGCTAATCACAAGTAATAATTTATTTTAGATGTCTTAATGTGTATTTAATTTTTTTACCAATTTATCATGCATATTTGTTACAAATAACAATCATATTATAAATGACATTAAAATATTGTATAATGCTTTTTAGTTATTAACTTAAATCAAATAAAACTTATTTATGATTATGTATAATATAATAACAAACTAATTGAAGTAACCAACAGTTGTCAAGATGATTATTACTTATTATCAATTATTTTTAAAATTTAATGATGATTAAAATCAGTTTTATAATTATTTTTAAAATAAACACACCATAAAATATATACAATTTAAGCACGATCTTATGAAAGTGTTTAACAAATTAAATAATTTTGTAGGGTTAATGGTTTTATATATTTCTCGCAAATTTTTTCAGAATTACGAGTCATTTTCCATAAAAAGCTTATAATCTCGAATTATACAGACAAAAAAACAAATAATTCGTTTATAGTTGGATGAATTTAGTTGTTCGTAGTACAAAGAGTATTCTTATCATCCATATCAAACTATCTAATAAAAGAAAATAATGCTAAACCAAAGAAAAGAAATGGAAGTAAGTAGTATCAGAGAATAGAATACACAGACTTTTGTAAGACAATAAGAAAAAGTATTAAGTAAGAGATATAAGAAAGTACAATGAATTTTCAATGAAAGTACAATGGTTTAAAACAAATTGGATAAAACAAAGGTTACTATTTTTTTAACTTTGCTTACAAATTGAGGTTACTTTTCGAAATAAAGTCTGTTAAGTAGTTATATACAATTTTGTAATGAGTGGAAGCATTTTGTGTTTATTTTTTATTAATTCGTCAGTTTGTTGTATATATTTTGTACATTTAAAGAGAATGTGGTTTAATTCTGCTTTGACAAACTTCGCATAAATTGGAATTTACAATTTTAAGTTTTGCCAGACGAGCCGTATAACATGCGTGTCCTGATCTCATTCTGATAATAGACGTAATGTATCTTCGTGGAACAGAGTAATTTTTAAATAAAAATTCACTCGGAATTGGGGGTTGTAGGAGTGCATTTTGTGATTTAGAATGTTGACTATATCCATAATATTCTTGTTTCCACTGATTGTTTACAATATTCTTGATTTTTACAAATACATCTGGTATGCAGAGCTTATAATCTGTTTTCGCACCAGAATCAATGGCTTTCTTAGCTAATATATCTACATATTCATTATGCTCAAGCCCTATGTGAGCTTTAATCCACAAAAATCTAACTGTTCTTTGTCCCTGATGTAATTCAAAAATAATTTTTTTG